GTTGCGTCTATTTAAACATTTCTAGATTATTTAGATTTTCCTGCAAAATTTTCAATGCAACATATTAAATCATCGTTAAATAGAGAGATTGTCTCCCCGTAGAAGCTAAATCGTCTAGCGAGGAGATAACGCGTGTCTACCGGCGTCGGGAATTAATTCATCATTTAGCCTAACGAAGGGAATAACTAGTTGTAGCGGATGAGGTGGACGCGCGTAATAATGCGATGTCAGATAAGACGACGAGCGATGAGCACGTTGTCGGCCCTGGAAATCGTTCCTCCGATTCTCTTTTTTTTTTTCCACGCACCTGGCATGACATTTGCAGACGGCGTCGCATCCCGCTATTATTGCTGCCACAAAATAAAAGCGAATGATACCCTTCGCGCCACGTTTTTCAACTCAATCGCTACTTTGTACAGTGACAGAAAACTTGACATTTTTTTTTCCTTTCTCCGCACATATATAATTCCAGAAGTTTTTAGAGCAATTTTTTAGAGCAACCAAAATCATTACGCACCTTATTTTAACCTTATATTCCGTTGTTTGTTTGAGGCACTCTTCCAAAATATCCTACGCTATATTCTCGCGTGTTCTCGCGTTAGGAGGTAACGCGATGTCCACCGGCGGAAATGCATACAAGACAATGTAGACTGAAAATAATGTCGTGCCGCGTTCCACGTTCACCGTTCGCATCGCCTTGTTCATTTAACGTCGGAGATATGCCAGATCGATTACATTATCGCTGCCTAAGTCATAATGTATTGTCGACGTATACTAAATGCATTTTTCTCTCAACTGCGTTAGAGTCGCGCCACATTCTCGATGTTATCGTCGTTTGCGCACTATTGCGATCATTGATCGACTATGATTCGAAATTTTTTTGAGTCAGTTCGCGGATATCATTACGAATCACGCTGTCGATGATAAGAAGTCTCCTGCAAGCTAAAGAAACCGTATTAATTCTAATCAGAGAGAACGAAATTCGTTATATTTCTGCGTTAGATTGCAAAAAGAAGTTAGGCAGAAATCCACATAAAAAATTGAATTAATCACGGTTAAAGGATATTTAGTTAATAATTTAATGTGTTCCAGATCAATCTTTCGACTAAAAATGCGCGAAATGAGGACATAATCTCAAAATATTATCACAATATTGTTATTTCCAGCATTTATCTTACAAAACATTCGTTTTCGTACAATATTCACAAACTATTCTTAGAATATTTCCACATCCGAAGATTATTTCCTCATCATGACACGAATTGTGACGTGTCCGGCCATCATAGCAGCAACTCTGATAACTCTTTCACGAAATCGTACACCAAAAACAACAGATAAATCGAGATCGGCCAACTAGCAACACTTTCTGCGACATTGAGGGAGTGGGACAAATATTATTGAGAAAACAATTAGCGGACGATTGGTCGCGCGCAATCAAATGTCGCGACATTAGCACTAATCTTTATAATGGCACCGAACGATTCGGTAAACAAGGTAATAAACTGTCTCTAATTAGCCGCATTTAATATCAACAGCAGCCCCGTCGCTTTATCGTCGCACGATTTAACAATGGCCGCCGTCCGCGAAGAGATTGAGACGCGTCTAATTATTGCGCAGTACCACGAGGGGGAAAAAAAATAATCGCGTGGCAATAGACGAGATCTGGAAAACGCGCGTCCTTTGATATCATAACGGACAAACGCGCAATACATATTTCAATCGCCTGTTCTTCCGTGCAACCGTCGTGCGTTTTGACGTTACACGCCAGACAGTGCATGATCAGGATGTTGCGTAAGGCACACGCCGACATGAGTGACAAACGAGAGACTTCCAGCGCGTCACAAACGTGTCCTTCCGAAAAAAGAGCTTGCTTCCGGCGGCGACAATGGCATCGCGCCAGAACAACAAAATGTGCTCGTGTGTTCACGAACGTCTCGAAATGCCTAGCAATTATTACGTCGATTTCCCGTTTACGAAAGAGCCCGAGATACTCTCGGAGTTTGTAAATCCGAGACCGTAATGTCAAACAGCTTGGATTTTTCATTGAAGAAACATAGAAAAATATAATTTGAGAGTGGCAACAATATTTATTGCGCCTAGCGACGGCCTTTGCGCGTTTTATTATTTGTCTTCTGAATGAAACCAACGAACAAGTTGGAGACAGACAGGACGCGACTCGGAGCGACGGTGAAACCGCAGAATACGATATGTATTGTGAAAACCGGCGAAAGTGAACGTATTCATAAAACAAGCTGTCTAATACTCGAGCATCGTCTCCTGTAGGCTGTAGCCGAAATAAGCACCGGCGGCATTACCTCGCGCTAACACGCAACAAGTTTGTTTGCAGTTTAGCTCGTACGGTTATTGTACGGCTTGTAAAATTTGCTCAGCTCCTTTCGCCCCTGTCTCTTTCTCGATGTATTAATTAAATGCGAGAGCACTTTCGTCGACGAAAACACACGCTTTACGCGAGATTGCCGCCGTCGGCAACGGCAAGTTCGTGCGATAATCTCGTACACGACAGACAACGGAAAACTAATCAGGACTATAAACATTTCGGTATTTCGACATTTCGATTTGAAGCACGACGTTCGGATATCGTTCTCGGTAAATGATCTAGAATGATCGAACACACACGGGGAATTCACTTTCGAAAAGAGAGACTGCTCGGTCTGCTCACCTGGCGGCGTGATACCGTGCGGATTGAGATGCGGATGGTGATGCGCACCAGTGAGTATCCCCTTGCTCTGAAGATGATGCGCCGCCGCCGTTGGCCCCGGCGAGCTGGTGGGCGGCAGATGGGCCGCCGGATTGTAGAAACCCGCTGCCGCCAGGGCGGCAGCGCTGAAGTAGCTAGCGGCCGCCACAGCTGAGGACGGGTGTGACAAGTCGCGTTGGCCGCTCACGGGCAAGGGCGGCGGCGTTTCCGGCGCCGCGGCCGGGCTTCCGGGTCCGCCGGGTGGCGGTGATGCGCTACCCTGCGACGAAGAGCCGCCCAAGATACCGGGCGGATGAGTGCTGGCCGCTGTGAGCAGCGAGGAGACGCTGAAGTCCGTCGGTCGCGGTGCCGCCGGTGCCGGCAGGTGTCCGGTGCCGGCACCGATGTGGCCGTTCGGGTTGCTTGCGGGCGGCGTGCCGCCGGCGATCGAGCTTGCGAAGGGCGAGTGCTGATTCAGAGCCGTCGCTGACGCGGGGTACGCCATCCCAGGCCCCCCCGCCTCGGCCCGCGGCCCCGTGTTTGCACCCTCGACCACGTTAGCCTCCAATTCTATGACAAGTCTACGTCGCTGACCGTCGACGTCCTTCGCGGAGGAGTCCTCCTCCTCCTCCACCACCACCTCCTCCTCGGGCCGTGATCGCTGCTGCAGCGCGGAGGGTTGCGGAGTGCTGGCGCAGTGGGTACCCCTGCACGCCGTGTCTTGTTCGAATCTCATCGAGACGGGCGGGTGTGCCGAGTCGCGCGAGATTCCTCTTCGAGTGACTCAAACCTGCTTCGACTGCTGGCTCGCGCGCGATGATTCTCTCCTCTCGCTCTCGTTTCTTCGACCCGAATGCGCGCTGTCGTTTCACGAGCCGTCGGACCGGAGGCTGCTCTTCGTAATGTATCTGAACTTGCCTCAACGATCGCGCTCGTTCCTCCTCATATTCAGACTCGTACACGTTCTCGCAGGAGGCTCGCGCGCTTATTCAAGATCGCCGATCACAATTCTCGGAACGCCCGCGTTCTTCCGCGCGAATCTCGGGCCGCGGGAAATCGCCGACGATCGTCTCACTGGATGCCGAGAGCCGCGTAGTCGACATCTTACGATACGGTCCTGCCGGCAGGACTGTCCGACTGTTTCAGCGACGTTTCACCATAATGCAAAGTACATGTCGAGGTGTCATCCGCGTGTAATCGAAAAATGTGCAAGTCATCCGCTTTCGCAAGCACCTCACCGAACAAGACTGGCACACTGGCACACGGAGCTATCGTCGTGGAGCTCGAGCACTCGCGGAGCGGACGTCTACGGTGACGCCGCGTGGTAGATCTTCAGTATAAGAGTCACTCCCATCGTCGAAACACTAGCCGCGAGTCACTCTAGGCCATAGTGCTTATCCGGCGTTCACTGATCACTGATTTCTCACCGACTTGCCTGGGACGCGGACTTGCCGGTCGCCGATCTCTGTGTCACTCTGCCTGCGTCTCTCTTTCTCCTCTCGTTTTCTTTCGAACGCTTCGAAACACGACACTGCGCTCACGATTCACGGCAAGTTTAGGCCAACGGGCCCCGTTAACCGTCCGACGGGCTTAACAACACGAGGGTACACAAGAAGGACAAGTTCAGTTTGGAAAAATGTTACAAGCCGGTGGATGACACGCGTGTACACAACGTGTGCGCGGTCGGCGACGACGATGGCAATGACGATAAAAAGCAGCAGGTTTATCTCCTCTCGGTAGTCGACGACGATCGTTCGGGGCTGAAGAGCGGACGAAAGGTGTTACTTGGGTGGCGCCGCGATGGTCACTGAGCAGCGCTAGGATTGACACCTCCTCTGGGGGCTCACCCCCACACCTCCCGCGGAGGTGTTGGTGTGCTAAAGTCCCCGTCCGGATTCAGGGCGGTGTGTACGCGGCGCGCCGCGTGTATATGGGTGGTCCGCGGATACGTGTGCGTGCGTTACGCGCGTGTATATAGTCCGCGGTGTGCCTGCGCCGCGGAACGGACGCGGGAGGCGTGAATGCTGGAGGGCAGCGACGCGAAGACTGAGACCGTGCGGGGGTTCTCCTCCCTTCCGCGGTGACCGTACTGTAGCCAGAGTGGGGACCGGCCTTCCCCAACTGCCGGCATCGGCGGCGAGCCGTCGGAAGAGCGACGGAGACGACGGACGTGGGACTGGATAGCGCGTAGCGGCGAGAGGTGGTGGGAATCCCGTGGCACCTTCTCCCTACCCAGCCGTCGGGCGATAATGAGCGCTCGTAGTCCGGATTGGCGTTCCGGCGCCAATCCGAGCGGCGTTGGACTCGACGCCTTTTCCGACGCTACTCGAGCCAGAGCCGGCCTTCTCGCTCGCTCGCCTTCGCGCGCTCACCCTGTTCTCCTCTACGTCGGACTTATCCCCACCGCGCTGCGCCGTGCATACATGTTCGCTGCACCCTCCGTTCGCTCGTCGGTGAACCCGGTTGTGTCCCCACCGCGGCGGTTCTAAGGGTGTTAACCGCGAGTACGCCCATTAACACTACCCTGCGTCGCTGCTTTCCAACGAGGGCGGGTGCATAGAGTACGAAGAAGGGGTGCGCGATCGACGTTGCGAGGTGTCGTTAGTGGAGCTCGCTCGAATCTTCGCCGGCTGTACGTTAACGCGAGAGAATTTTCGCGTCTGAGTTACCACGTCGATCGACACCTTCGTTTGGCGAAGGAGAGAAAAACATTAATGCTCCTGGATATATCGTTCCGCATGCTTTTTTCGATAAATTGCTACGATTGAGAACTTTTCGATATAATCTGTTATAAAATGTATACAGTTTACATTGTAGTGCAGCCGGCGAAGAAATATGTGATATCTCATAAAAGAATATGTGGAAAAACGCAGAATACAATTTTTCATTACTTGCATACTTTTCAAGAGAAATGATTTCAAATATAGCATGCATCCTCTTTTATTGTCTCTTTGAACTTTTATGAAGTATACAACTATTTGTGATAATTACATTCGCAATTAAAGCGTTACCATTGTAAGATCTTAATGCCAAAAGTATATAAGTGTATTAACGATTACTGCATATTATATCAAGAGGTCAGTAAAAGTTAATAACGATATCTATAATATTACAATAATGAATATTCTGTAAATAAATTCTAAGATTGCAAATAATAAGTATCTTATTAGTTAAAAAATGCATTCATGTGTCAATGTTTGAAATCATTTTTCTTGTAAACTGTCAATCAATCGAAAAGGATTTCACATTTTTGATCTCTTCACTAATTATATTACAACTCATTAATTTCAATTATTGTTAAATTAATTTCCAGATGTGTCAATTTCAGTAACAAGATATTTCCAATTTATGTTGTATTTATAGATGTGTATTTCACTAAATGATATTAAAGTGTATTATCTTTTTGCTACTTATTATAATTTGCAACTATAAAGCAGTGAAACTGCGATGAGATTTATCCGAGTGAATTAGGATGTACAAAGTCACATAATTTATTTCTGCCGAGCAAAGTTTGGCGACATTTCATCCGAAAATATATATCTGTATCTTTCGCGCGCGTGGCGAGTGCACTTTATCATCGCCGTAATGCAATACAATTGGCCACGTCGAGAATTCACCGAGTTTTCCGCGAAATGCCGCGAGTGAGAAGTTTTCGAGAGCCGTGCCAAAATTCGCACGGCACAGCGTCACGAGTCTCACTCTCCGTCCCTCTCCGTCCTTTTCGCTCACATGCTGCATCTCGCGTTTTAACACGGCGGAAGCAGCGACGGAGAGGAAACCGATAGCCACACCCTCAGTGCCCCTACCGTTGTTGCGATCGCCCCCACAGTATCACGTGATCTAGCCTGTTCCCCTCTCGCGCTCACGGTCTTCGTCGTCCACCACTATGCTCTCCCCGTCTCGTTTCTCGCGGGTGCCGCCTCTCACCCTTTCCTCCGAGCGAGATCTCTCCCGCTTTTTCTCCGCCGTGAAACGCTCGACGCTCGTCCTTCGCGCCGTGGAGTGTTGCTGAGACGCCCAGAGCATCTACAGTGTTGCCAGATCCGCGAGAGCTTTTCTACCCGCGCGGACCGGAATTATATACCCAGAATCACATTATTCGGGAGCGTCGTAAAGAGTGAGCGTCACGCTGAGACCGTCGATCGGAGTCGTTCTTTTGTTGGCCCGGAGCGAAATTCAGTCTGCTGGGCCATGATCCGGTTTAATCGTAATTATATGGGGAGAGAGGCACGGAAGGATTAAACGTTTGGAACAAAGGGGCGGGACATGTTGCTTCATTATTTATTGCTTCTGCGGTGAATTATTGGCAATATGCACCTTTTCGTTGCACTTTTCGTAAACTCATTTCCTTTTCTGATTTACGTCACAGGAGAAGAATAATAAATATTAATGCGAGAGAATTTTTATCGATTGTCCTAAATTTCCAATCACAGTATCACATTACACAGTTGTAATGTATAATGGTTTTCGAACAATGCAGTATACAAATGCGAATCTCTTGTGTGACTGGTTTAAATAAACTATATCTTTGTGACTGGTACAAAAAAATTCCCAAGTTAATTTTTAACTTTGTAGTAACATGAATTTAATTTGGTTTGGTTTCAGAAAGTTTCAATATATATTTCTGGAATATAAAAGATTAAACTTTGATGGTTGAGTATTCACGTAACAAAAAATAATCAATAGTATATATATGTATATCAATAGTATATATATAGTATATATATGTCTGATAGACTATTTTTTATGCTTTCATCTTATCTAGTTCCCATTTATTTTTATTCCAAAGTCCGCTATATTGTCGGATACTCGCCGCGGACAGTTCATTCTATTATTTTTTTCTCTCTCTCTCTCTCTCTCTCTCTCTCTTTCTCTCTCTCCTCGGCCGATTCGAGGAAAACGTATCGGCGGCGATCGATGCCACTATACGTTAGCTATCCGATAGAGGCAGTGGAACGTAAAGGAAACGAAATAAGGGAAGAAATATAAAGCAGCGGGTGAGAGAAAGAGAATCCGAAAATTCTACGGATACGTATATCGCGAGAAAGCCACAGTGAGAAAGAGAACGAGCTTAGTCGTCTCTTGCGTGTCCGAGACGACGTCGTAGCGAGGCGGCTGAGGCAAGAGCAAAGTTTGTCCTCGTCGGCAGGGAGAAGATAGCGGTGCGAGACAGAAAAAGAGAGAGCGAAAGAGAAAGAAAAAAACATCCAGCCACCGAGCGGAAAGCGCCGGGGTACGCGGGTCTGGGGGAGGGGGGTGGAAGTAACGTAAGATAGAGAGAAAACGACGGCGCGGACGAGAGAAAGAGAGAGGTGGTCATAATCGCGCAGACCGCGTCATAATCCGCGACGAAAAACATTTGACGAGCGCGCCGGGCTGGTAAAGGGGCAACGGGATTGGGCGTGGCTAGGCTTGACACCGCCTACGCACCCAAGCTTACCCCACTATCGCCGACACGTGGATGGGGTGGAGGGAATCAGCCTTAACGCTGGCAATGCGCGGAATCGCACCGAGCGATGAGGGATGAAGTGGAGGGGATCCGCGAGACGAGGACGGAAACTCGCGGTGCATTCGTCCCGCGACCACGATCAGAGCAGGACGAAAGACTGAACACACACAGAGGGATGCGCCTTGCACCGATGCACGCGAGCGTACGCTGTCCGGTCGTGCACACACGGTGAGATTTTTTTGCGCGGTAGTCTTGTTGGTCGGCCGCGTGTGGAGATCGGCTGAAGGTTTGCGTGAACGAACTCGGCGCACCGTTCCATACGCCGCGCCTATATCGCTCGGTGCACAACCGATGGACATCCCACAAGACCGCAGATTTTGCCGGGCAATTACACCGAGTCCAGCAACGCGACTTAGAGCTAGGCTAGGTGATCGCGTCGATACCACGAAACTGTTAAATCGGTTGCTATAAGGTTTTGACCAAGAGGTCAATACGGAAAGATATGAGATATTTCTTACATTGGAGAATATATAGTGTGCATTGCTTCGACACAAGTGAAACATAAAATCCTGCCATATGCTATATATACATAAAAACTTGCCTGACTACGATATCACGCATCTGTCATTCAATGAAATTGAATTATGTTTTTAGTGTTACCAGTAATCACTGGCAATAATCTAACGTCGGATTGTTACCTCGATTGTAAGTAAAACAATTAAAGTGTAGAGAAAATAAACCGTTGTCTACATTAAATAAAAATGTTATACATTTATCGATGCACATTTTATTATGTGATATTTTCATGCGTTAGAGAAATACGTAATGAAAGGTGGGCGGTTTTATGGATAATCAGATAATTTTGCAACAGCATAGCATAGGCTTTTATCTAGAACTGCAGAAACTTAGTTGCCCATAAAGTGCTTGTTCATTTGAAAAAATAGCAGAATATATATTTAGTAAAAGCGTACGTATAATATATAAGTAATAATTTATATTTTTAGAATTTATATTTGCAATAAAGTTAGGGGAAAGATATATGCGTACGATATTTATAAATATGTTAAAATGAGAAACCATCATTATATGGTATATCTACGTTATTACCGCATGCATTTTTAAAAACCGTTAAAAATAGCGAGAAAACTTATGCATTTAACGAATTTTTCAAACCCAAGCCACAAAAAAAAATATGTCTATCGCATACGTTATATTAAAAGAAATTTCATCAAAACGACATAGATTTTCCACTTCAAACAACAAATTACAACCAAATTATGTCTTCGATCACATTCTATTCCGCCCACAGGAAGTGGACAGTGCGCGTATGTAGTGCGTCCGGTCTTTGAAACGCTATCGTTGATAGTGCCAATAACTCGCATATAATTAATGATGCCTACCAACCACTGTTCGCGAGCACGCCGCACCGATATAGACCATTTGTTCCTCCCCCGATGCGGTGAACCATTGCATACGCGTAGTCGCATTAGTTAACCACAGCGGCTGTGAAATTCTGGAAACCAGCGAACTGCAACAAGAGACGAGAAATTTCGAATCAGTAAAATTCCTATGCAAAAAAAATACATCGCCCTTGAAATTGCAATTGTAAGATTTAATAATCATGCGAATATCAGATTAATAAAACGCAGATATTGACGAATCTTAACGAATACTATAATTCGATACTATATTCGTTCAACAGCCTTCGCAAGCACTTACAATTCGCTATAACCACAGCGATATCCATATTTATTTAATTATAGGTTTAAATTTCGCGTTTTATTTATTTTATTTCTAAACGTATATATTCGTGACGATTAAAAACTTGTTCCGTATAAACGCGGAATTACTTATAATCTCGCCTTCTTATCTCCTCTTTAAATTATCTTCTACAGCCGTATCTCGTGTTCTGCGACGCCTTTTATTTCGCTAAAGAGCGAACCGGCAAGTTGGATACGCAAGATGAATTTCCCTCGCCGGCGTCTCGAACGGAGATTCCAGGCAGATAGAGCACACCGGCTCGCTATATGTATATCGGCGCGCAGCCTATAAATCTTCTCGGCCCATAAACAAAGCTTTTGAACGCGAAAGGTCGTTGCAGCATGTGCGTGACGACCGTCGGTTCACTCTTTTCGCGAGTAACTTGCGAAAGAGACAAGAGGATGGGGGAGGAGTAACTCGCGCGAGGGTGGCGAGGCTGGGGAGGACAGAATGGAACGCGGCTAAAAGTTCTGACGGCTGAATTTAACGCCAAACTCATCAAGTCGCTGCTTGCTACTTCGCGGGAAGGAGCACCGCGGACAATTTTGTGCTTATAGCGGCCTCGTCTTCTCGTTTGTTTCTCTTTTCAAGTACGCCACATGTGTCCCCTTCGAGTTCATCCAGATTTCGACTACGTCATAGACGTATGTATTATCGTGGAACCAGTTCGTGTTTCAGATTATCCATACAACATCGTTCATAGACATTCGTAATATACAGAACCAGTTTATTGAATTTACAAATCATGCAAGAAGCACTGCTAGGACAAGTTTATTATTATGTGATGACGAATATTTGCTTCGGGAATTTTAATTTTAATTTTTCAAAAAGAGAATTTACGATTTTCTTCAGGCACCTTTCGAGAGGATCGAACGTACGGTTACGGATTCCACGTTGAGTGACTTGTTCGCGCTGAAAAATCGACAACGACACTAATGAAGGTTGCGTGATTCGTTTGATCACCAGTACTCTTGTGCATCAAAGTCGGAGCGTGAACAGCATCCTTAAGTTATCATTATCACCTCTGCACGTATCAAGTAGTTATTCTTCAGAAAATCTGACGAATAAGGTCGACGAGATAAAGGTTTAGCAACGCGTCGCCCGGATAGACGGAAAAACCGCGTGAGCAACGACAAATCAATTAGGTATTTTAATGGGATGAAGTCACCCTTGGCCCTCTGTAACAATCGGATAAAATAATTGAAAAGCATTCCGATTCCGTCAAGAACGATGGGTAAAAGCCGGATTGCCTCGGGGTTGATCATCAACGAGGGCAAGTGCGGGAGAAAGGGCGACGGAGGAGCGACGACGAGGTGATGGTGGTGTCGGTGATAGTTCAGGAGTGCGGAAAGACAGTGAAAATTCCCGACGTCACTCCAGTGCGCCGCGGGCGTGTAAATTTGCACGGATCGATTCCGGAGAGGAGAAACAAAGAGGAATAGAGAAGAAGAGAGAGAGAGAGAGAGCGAGAGAAAAATGATAAGAGAGAGAGAGAGAGAGAGAGAGAGAGAGAGAGAGAGAGAAGAAGAAGAGAGAGAGAGAGAGAAGAGAAG